CCGAGACTAATTAGAGAATTTTTAGATGGTCTAAAAATATGTTCAATTTTATGCAAAAACACAAAAAGCTGCATCTAAAATAGTACAGCAGAAGCCGAGTTCTTCAGAGTAATCTTTAACCCTCTCCCCCACGGGAGGAATTTCCAAAAATCCCTTCTTTGCGTGCATTCTCATGGCATATTCTACTAAAATGCAAAAAAAAATTATTAAAATCATTATTGAATTTTAACTGAATAAATCTTTAGTATTTAAAAAGATATTTTATTTAAATAACCTATAAAATTAAAAAAAAAAAAGTCAGAAAATTTTTTATTATAATGAAGAATTAAGTTACTTGATGATAACCTTACTTGAAGTAAATGATTTATTTTAAATTCTAAAATTTAAAAATACTTGTTTGGAACATTATATTTTGAATGAATTCAAATATTGCTTTGGATTTTTTTATTGTTTTTGGATTACCCGAAAGGTAGAAATGATTAGAATATAGTATACATTTTGGCAATTAATAAATATGTGCCACTGTTTATTTTCCTTCTTTATTATTTACACTTTATACTGACTAAAACTAACTCTCTCCTTTTCTTCCATCAGGGGATGGAATTTCCAAAAATCCCTTCTTAATGTGTATTCTCACGGTGTACCCTAACTGTGTAACAAATTTCAACTTTCAACTCAACCATTTGGGCTCTGCGCTTATAATATAATCGAGACAGGTTGATGATGATAATAAGATAAGAAAAATGACAATAGTTAATTTTGGCATAGCATTAGAGAATTTACTTTGTAATGATTCTAATATTTCTAACTTTTGCAAATTAAATAGAAGAGCAATTTAAATAGTTGGAGGGAAACTTCCTTTTAAGTTCCCAATTTCTTGATGTTAAATATTGATATGGTGAATGGTAAAAAAAAAAATAATATTTTGAAATGACAACATTATTCTAACTGGAAAATATGATAAATTAATTTAAGTCATTGAAGATTTAGTAGTTTGAAAGCAAATAAAACATTCAAATTAAATTCTCTTACCATATTTATTCTACAAATTTACAAGGATTAACTGGAAATACAGCAGGGTCTGTACAACACGGATACATTTCTTGTTATAGGAAATCACGTTACCAAGATGTGCATTATCAGATGATTTTATGAAGTTTAAACCTAAGCCTAGAAGTTGAACTGGATGACAAAATTAGAATTTTGTATAAGTACTAGACACAATTTTTTTGTCATGTTATAGAGTAGCATATTATATGGGAGTTTGCTGTATATTTTGTTTATTCTACATTATTAATTAAAGTTGATTTTTTAATTAGAAAAATTCTTTTTTTCGCTTATCTTAAACTTATCATTTTTATTGTTTAATGATATATTTAAAGAATTTAAAATGACTATCAAATTACACAACACATTTAATTATGAAATAGTTATGAGAACAAATAGTTAATTATGAAATAGTTATGAGAACAAATGAGAACAAATAGTGAAAAATACGGTATTATAAACAAACAAATAGTTTGTTTATAATACCGTAATTTTCCATTTGGGTAAAATTTAAGCTTTTTAAGATTTCACTTTGTAAAGAAAGGATAAGATATTTGGCACAAGATGAAGATAAATTTTCTACAAAATTATTTTTTCCCTATGTTGGTTATCCACAGGAACAAGTATTTTATATTGGAATACAGCAAGGATGGTGAACCCTTTTGAGCCCACGTGCCATATAGTAAGCATAATTACTTAGCTTTAAAGATTGTGTGCACTAAAGGTTTAGACTTCAAATAATGGTATTAAAGCATATTCATTTAATTTCTTTAAATAAATAGATGTAAAAAGGCCGACTGAAAAAGACAGACGATAAATCAAAATCGTATGACACTTAACATGTCAGACAATTTCTCCTTACGCGCCACTTTTGGCACACATGCCCTAGGTTTGCAACTCCTGTATACAGGGGTGGTAAAATATCATTTTAATCAATCCACTGGAATAACTTGAAAAATATGTATCCTACAAAATGAATTTATTAAATCAATTGATCCTGTTTTCACTAATTTTTGCGTCAATTATAATGAAGCTACTAGTGCTATCTAGCTCCTTTTAAGTCATAACATTTTTGGAATAATGATTTTTTTTGCATGATGCATATTTTTTGAGTTATTCTAGTGAACTGATTAAAATGAACCATCCCATAATACAGCCAAATAATGGTAAGTTAATTCCAAAGTTAATATGAGGTCTGTTCAAAAAGTACTCTAACTTTATTTATTACAAAAAAAAAAAATACTTCACTTACAATTTATTGGTCAAGGTCCCCTTCAAAGTAGTCTCTTCTCCAACATATACACTTATTCAAACAGTGTTTCCACTTTTTGAAACAGTCCTGGAATGCTTCTTTCAGAATGCTCACAAGCACCTCTGTCGAATTTTTTCTCTGTCTCTGGAATGGTGGCAAATCTTTTTCCTTTGAGCAGGTTTTTTAGTTTGGGGAACAGGAAAAGGTCACATGGGTCCAGATCAGGTGAGTAGGGTGGGTGGGGAAGCACAGCAGTCTTGTTTTTGGCCAAAAACTCATGAGTTCTGAGGGACAAATGAGCCGTCATGTTGTCGTCGTGAAAAAACCACTCGCCGCTCTCCAAAGTTTGGGCCATTTTTACCTGATTCTGTCTCTTAGGCATTTCATAACCCCCAGGTGTTGACTGTCTGGCAGGTAGGTAGGTAGGTATTAGGTATTTGTGATGCACAAATACCTAATACCCCATTGCATCGAAAAAAACAGTCAACATCACCAATAACATTTGAGCGAACTTGTCGAGCTTTTTTGGGGCGGGGGATGTTTCATCCACCTGTGGGAAGTTTCCGTGAAGGATTACCCGAGTTTCACAGAACAACACTGTTCCTTCAAAGAGCTTATTTCCGCGGATCTGAGTTTTTGCCAAACCCCACAAACACCCCTTCATATAAACTAATCACCAAAATAAGATATCAACAAACGAATTAAGGAGGTTACTCGGGAGGTTTCTGCAGACACGACGCTTCAAAGCGAATTAAAAAATAACCAACTGGAGGCACGTTATTCAAAAAGTTCAGGAACTTTTTGAACAGACCTCATATTGTTGATCTAATTCCAGAGGAAAGTAATAAACATTTAAAATATAATTGTTTAAAACATTTTGTAAAATTTTTTTGATCATTATTTAATTTGTAAAAATACAAATTACTTACTGTGACATTGTCACAATGATAGGCTAAAATTTTTTAATCAGATTTTAATTTAAGTAAAAATTTTGAATTGAAGTCAAATTACTTTCTATCCAGATTGTACAGTTAATTGGGACCCTTAAGCTTTCCATATCTAGTTTCAATTTACATCTATCTAACACTATTTTTGAGGTTAATGAAGGACAGAGAACAGCAGGAATACATAAATTTGCAATTTTCAAATTGCATTTTGATTTGTACTTGTTATAATAGTGAATTTAATGTTACAAGATCTTAAGATTTTCTATATTATTGAATATTATTCAAATATTTTATAAATAATAATTTATATTGCAATAAATTTACATATTTTATTTGTTACAATTAATAACATTCAATATTTTCATTTTTAAAACTATGTCAAGATTTGAATTCTATGAATTTAAAGAATGTTAAAATACACAAAATTATTTAAAAATGCATATAGAAAAAATGTAATAAAAAATACATTAATAAAACATATTGTATAAGTTTTATTTACTTAAAATTCTCATTATACAACATATGGAAATCAGTATCCAATCATCTGAAAATATGTTGCATTCTAATAAAAGAATTACAACATTTCGGAATATCATTCAGAGAATTTTTTTTTCATTAGAAATTACACTGCTTTATCTGAATATAAGTTTTTGTAATCTTCTATTTAAAATCCATTTTACTGCCTTAAATTGTTTTATAAAAATTAAGCAAATAATGGCTGCGTTCAGCAGACTCAACAGTTATAACCGAGCATATTAGTAGCTATTACCATGTACGTAGCAACCTGGATATGCTGAACGGTGAGTGACATTGCGTTGGAACAACAAAAAGCCTCATTGGTCAGTTTCAGGTAGCGTAAATGAAATGCTACCAAATGTGATGTCAAAACACCAAACATATTCCATTAGGGGACGTTCAGCAGAAAAATACTCAACAGCCCGGAACTGTTGAGTCTGCTGAACATAGACATTTTCGACTTTTATGAGAATATGATTTTTATACTAAGTTTTCATTATATCAGAATGAACCTTTCTAAAATTTTATGAAAAAATATATATACAAACACACACACCTACACATGCTAAATTAAAATATGTTATCATTTATAAAATTTAATTTTTTAATTGGTTAGCTAATTGCACTTCTTAAAGCAGGAGTTACATCTACCTAATGTAATTTTTAATAGTAAGGATGGACTTTGTCTCTCTCATAATTGCTGCTAGAGGAAGAAGCATTGCATTTATCAATAGAATATGGTATGAATTAAACAACAAATTCATTCTAATACTTGTTGAATTAGTAAATTTTTCTTATCTGATTAATTTCTTCAATTTGAAGCCCACATCACATAGTAATTAAAAGGAATATAAATATTCTGAACACGGCATTTATATACTGCTGTCAATTAATCAACTTAAAAGTTGATATATTTTTTTTAATCTTATATTCAGATAATTGCAGCATTTCTACAGATATAAATTTATATTAAGTTGTAGATTTCAGTAAAATACACGTAAATATTTTATAATGTATGAAAGTAGTTTTGGTTTTATGATAAACTTCATTTCTTTAATAAACTAGTGAGATAATAAATAGTAAAATATTAAAACACATTTAAAATTATGAATAATATAAGTATTAAAAAAATTTATAGAAATGTAATACTTTTAAAATGATTTTCTATTGTAAACAGGGATTTTAATAAAAATATTTTCATATTTGAAATTTTGTTCTGATGATTTACAATCACATGGTTAAATAAGAAAGTAAATGTCACATTTATTATCAAAACTATACAAAGGCAATATTACAATAAAACTGACACAATCAGAATTCTGATTAAAAAACCAAAAAATTTACAAAAAAATTTGTCATCATTTATTATCTAAAGATGATGTATGATTCTTGTCAAATTTTTAACAACAAAATATGAAAAACTCAACAGAAATATTTCTATACAAAACAAAACAAAACAAAAAAAAATTTTGTCAGGCAGTTGAACTGCTTTAGTATTTTCATCGAATGCTTGTAAAAAGATTCAGAGCCGACTTTGCTTCCTACAGAATATTGTTATATGAATTAATAAAATAACTTAGGAGTCAATCAGTGATGTATTAAAAAAATTTTACCTTTTGTGAACGAGCTTTGCTGAACACATTCCAAAACCTAAGTGTTTCATCTCCTGCTCCTGTAACTATTGACTCTCCATCAGGTGACATAGCCTATTGAAAAAATTTTCATTTATATTTTCAATATATATATATATTATTTATTATAAATTCTTTTAATTGTTGTACTTTGCCATTAGTGAATGTGACCAACCATTTCAAAAATAATTTTTAAGACACTAGTTTTGACTGTTGTGTTTGGATATTCATAAATCAGGAGTTCATATAATTGAGGATTGACAGCATCAAAATATTAGCAAGGTCATGTACAGCCTGTTTGTTTGTGCTGAAACACATCAGGAAGGTCTTCATAACTTGAAAAGATTTGATGGCTTCACTAAATTTTGGCATTACACTTGGATTTGTGTCAGAATGTTCACTAGGTAGCAACTCCTCAATTGTAACAACATGTCATCAAACCCAAATTCCCAAATATAAAAGAAACATTGAAAATACATAAAGTTTACAATAGAAAAATCCATTATTCTGAGTTATGGATATGCTAAAAGGAGGAAAAAATTACACTAATTTGGCAGAATCTGGGGAAAAAATCTGTTATTAAACATACCAATTTATCTAATCAGTGGTTCTCATTGTAAATTTTTTAATCCTTATTGATGCATATGGTTTTAAAATGATTTGTCAAAGGATTGAAACTAGAATAATAACTCAAGAAATTTTTTATAGATTTATTACTACTACTAGCAGATTCCGCCACGCATTGTTGTGGCTCAAAATGTATCTATTATAAATTTTTAACACTTCCCCCGTGGGGGGGAATTTTCGAAAAATTTCTTCTTAGTGTACATTCTGTTGATGTACCCTATTAAAACGCAAAAAACCGCATCTAAAATAGTATAAATAGAAGCAGAGTTCTTTACCGTAAGCCTTAATCCTAACCATCTCCCTTCAGTGGGGTTGAATTTCGACATGTATATTATATAAAAACACGTGCGTATTCGAATGCAGCATTGTGTCAAAATTTCAAAGGAATCGGTAGGAACAAACAAACATTACATTTTTATTTATATAGACAGATAGATGATCTGCTTTAGTTCATTTTCACAGAAAAGCAAACTTAGGGCATTGTACTCGTAGCACCATCTGTTGGACATAAAAGCCTTAATCTAGATTATATATTTTAATTTATATGAATGTTTAACGGAATAATATACAGCCTATGTCCACCCTGAGGTTCCATTCTAAATATTTGTGAAAGAATTTTTGAAATCGGATGAGTAGTTTTGGAGATTACCTGCTGCATACAAACTTGCATACAAACTTACATACAAACATTACCTCTTTATAATATTAGTATAGATTATTATTTTTTAATGCTTTTTATTTTAAATTCTAGATTATATGTATATATATAAAGAAAAGAAAAATCAAATGCACAAAGTAAATTAGAAATATCTATAAATAAGACTTTGTAAATCCCAATGATTACAATCTCCCATCAGCCAAATTTCTCTAATATCTAAAACAATACCAGTAAAGGAACAGTAGTTAAAACTGATAGATAGTGGCTAATTGTGTATTGGGAAAAAATGATTTTGATTAATAAAAGAAAAATTTCATCAATATATATTAATTATTATTTTGTATATTTTTTTTTATAAATTTACAATATTGTAGTATCAAAAATAATATTGTTTTAACATTTTTGCATAGATTTAATAAACGCATGGTGATACATTAGCGAAATGCTGTCCAGATCCATCAATTATCAAGTTTTTAAATCAGTTATGTGAGAAGTCACTATCTATAATTTTATTGTATAATATAATAAAGCTAGTCACAAAAATTTTTTAAATTATTTAATCACTCATATTTCATTGATTTGGCATTTTTAATTTCAATTAATATTAGTGAGAAATTAAAATGTATCTCTAAAATTTAGAAGTATCAAATACTTGAAGAATTAGTTGTATTTTTTAAAGTTTACTTTATTTATCATAAATACATTTATATAATTGGCCTTTCATTTTATAGATTTATTATTTTTTAAAACACTTTTTTATTTAATAAATTTTATCTATTAATGTTTTAAAGAAAGCAATACTTACTAAATAAAGAACTCTGTATGAATGCCCTGTTAATTTGGCAACTTGAGTGAGTGAGGGATATTTCCAAACTAAAATCTGGTTCTGAGAATAGCCATGGGTGCTTACCTATATAAATTAAAAATAAAACACATAGTTTTAAATAATGCTTTTTAAAATTTTGTTAAATTGTAATTTTACATTACTATCTTTAATAATGTTTAAAAACTGAATCAAAATTTAACTTACAAGTTCTGACGCATGCTTTGACCATGCTAAATTACAAACTTGAGAACCAGTATCAACACACTGCATTGGCTGACCAGTCAAGGTATTCCAAAATCGAATACACCTATCGGCAGTACCTCCGCCACTGGCTAATAACCCATGATGATGAGGTGACCATGCAATTGCTTTAACAGCAGCTAAATGTTCATTATAAGTTTGTATAGGGCTAATACTACTTAAATTCCAAACAAACAATTTATTATCATTTCCACCAGATGCTAAATGTTGATTGTCCGGTGACCACTTTAATCCACACACCTAATTATTATTTTTATAATTAATTTCATAGAATAAATTTATCAATAAATAAAGATATTTAAAATAATACTTCTTGTCTGTGTCCTCCTAGTCTTCTTTCAGGAACAACAGATGGCATGCGCACATCTCTTTGTAAGATAAGGCGATCCCTACTTCCAGAAGATAAAATGTCACCATTCCATGCAAGAGCACCAACTCTTGCTGAATGACCTTCTAAGACTGAAATACGTTTACTTCCTGTCACATCCCAAACTTGAACATAGCCCTTATGAGTACCCACTGCTACTGAATGGCCCTAGAAATTTATTACATTTAAGTAAATTTGCCATAACTTTAAATTTATAAATTATAACATCATCATACCCTTTCAGCCCAAGAAACTGATGTGACAGAATCACTATCAGCTGAAAGATCACAAAGCCGTGTCACTTGCGAGGTACATGCACTCCATAGGTACACACAAGTACCTAATCCAACACTCAAAACATTAGTTGAAGACCAATCAACTAAATTTAAATAAAAATCATCTTGAAGCTCAGGTGCATCTAATACTTTGAAAGGTATTTTAGAGATTTTTCGAGCAGCCTATAAAAATGTATACAAATTTTTAAGTAAGTATTTTGAAAATTCAATGAAATAAAATTTTATTTTAAAATGATGTTTAAATATAACCTAATATATTAATACATACATACACACACACACCTAAAAAATTATATATCAACATCATATAGTTAATTCTTTTGTATGCCTTTTTTAATGTTAAATAACTTTTACACAAATTCTATATTTGTAACAAACTCTTTACAGCAATAAATATGTTAAAAAATATTACCTTTCGAGGAGATCTCAAGAGCTTTTGACTTTTATTGCTAACGGGTGAAAGTGAATATGATGATGATGGTTCATTTAAAGTACTCCCTTCTCTACTTCGATACTAAAATTTTTATTAAATTATAAAACTGAGTATTAAAACATTTTACAAGATAAAAATCAAATAAAATCAGCGAAAATCTAGAACATTTAATTTAATAAACAAAAGCAAGCACTACACATCCAATTTTCAACAAAACTTTCTTTGAGCTCAATAGTTATGCCGACAGGAAATTAATTACCAGAGAAAAAAAATTCCTTTGGTTGATGCTAAGTCATTAATGCAGTGTGATTATCATAATGAAGCTGGAATGACAACCAGATAGACTAAGTGGCAGAAGGAGATAGTAATTGCTTAATATATAATATAATAAGAAGGATTTAGAGGAACTTCAAAATTCACGTTATTTAGTAGCATAATATATGTAGTTTGATATGTGAATACTGGCATTTTTCTGTTAGAAGCAAACATTTCCGGAAAAGAGACCAAGATGTTTGCTTCAGATTCCTGACGTAAGATGATTATAAAATAATAGATCATAATAGATACATCTGTTTACATTTTAACCTCTAGACATAAAAAAAAAATAATTGTGGAACATTGTTTCTCACAACTGCATCAGCATAACAGTTCCTGCTGATAACTATGCATAAATTTGTTGGGCTTCAGAGAATTAGGATTATGCTATTTCATTAAATTTCATTTTCTTCTCTGGAAAAGTTTAATGAAATACATTCAATATTCATCCAATCTAACAGAATTCCTCACTTTCATATTCATATTATTTCAGAAATATTTGACAGGCAAAATTAAATTTTCGTTTATCTCAAAGCACTAAAGAACAAACTATCTTCCTTGCACAAACTTTATAGTATTGATAACTCTGCTCTTTATAAATGACCTAAGACTTATGCTTAATGTCAAAGTCACCTCATCAATAGTCACACTCACAGATTTCCATGTATAAGATAACTGACTACTTGAAAAATCTGAATCATGATATTGAATTTGCATGTCCTGCTTGTAGATCATCATCAAGGAAAATGATACCATTTCTGAATTTTTTCATCCAGCAATAGCCTTGTCTTTATGACAAATTATTCTCATTGTACATAGTCAGCATCTTTAAAATCAACAAGTTTCAATGCCTTCAACATACAAAAGTTTCACTATTGCATTGGTTTCAACCTTGGCAACGATAAACTGTGAATGCTATTTTTGAATCAAGTCAACGAATGCCATGTTATCTGAGAACATTTAACAAGCTTACCTACTTTTGCGCATATTTTATACTACTTTTATGTTTTTCATTTGATTCTATCTTTAATTGTTTATGCATTAATGCATTAAATTAAAAATATACTTCAAATGTAAAATATTATTTATGCATATTTGGTTTAAGTAAAACTAGGTGAATTTTTAATATTTAGATAAGTAAAAATTTATGATTAAAATTAATTGCAGTTTAATGTATTACCTAGGGTATTAATTTGTCATAAAAATATGCATGATGATAAAATTTTAAAAGATTAAAACATATTTCAAATATAATTATATATTTTTATTATCCTACGATTGTTTTAAATTTAAAAAAAAAATACATGTGAATATAAACAAATTACTTATAAGCCATTTATTAAAGCAGTAAATTAATTTCTAATTTAAATTTTAAAATTTTAATTTTAAAATTTAAATTTTAAAATTTTAATTTCTAAATTTTAAATCAGTAAATTTTAATTTCTAAATTTTCTAAATCAGTAAATTTTAATTTCTAAAGGAATTTATATGAATGCAAGACACTATAATAATAAACTAAATATAATAAATAATATAAATTTAAAGATCTATATAATTTTAAAATTAAATTTAAGTGGCTTGCACCATAAAAGTAAAGAAGCACTGAAATAAATGTTCCTATCTTGAACAATATTTGAAAGTACTTAAATGTGCTTGTAATCAAATATGCTTAAAAATGTAGCATTTACAGTAGAGCGTCGTTTATCCGAAAGCATTCCAGTCGGCAAATTTAAATTTTCGCTAGTGCTGTGGCGCTGCAATCTTTCTCGGGCTACTCAAATATTTTACGTTTTTGATACTAAATTAACATCTGAAGTATAATTTTTTATTGTTTTTATATTTTTCAATAAATTTATTTTGTTTCTACAAAATAGAAAAATAATTTTTAATGATACAATAGTCTTCGTTAGGCTTAACATGGACGAAAATTCAACGCGAAGCGACACGCAACGGAGAGAAATTTCAACATGGGATAAATTAATATATTTTTTCGTACATGATTCGTTATCCGAAAAATAAGTTATCCGAACAACCCCAGTCCCCAATTGATTTGGATAAACGACGCTCTACCGTACTTCAATTTCTCTGAAAATTCATAAAATGAAAATATCAAAACTAAAAGCTATTATTTTAAAACTGATAATCATTAATAGAAAATTCATCAAGTTAACATTTGATAATGTAGTTGTATGTACTTCAAATGTAAATTGAAAAAAAAAAAACATTTTTTAAACATACATGAAAGAGATTTCTTCCTTCGGCAGGAGACAATGCTTTTCTTTCTTCTGTCTGTTCCTAAAAATTTAGATTTTGTTCAATAGAAAATATCAAATATTTTAAAATTTTAACTTTTAAAAGCAAATTTAAAGCATATTTTATAATGTAAAATATAACTTCTTATTTAATTATATTTATAATACAACTTATTTTAGTTACAGAGAATCAGCTGAAATAACAATATTAACCAGTTAGAGAGATTAAGCAATCCTAACAATGTTTACTGATCTAAAATGATATATGAATAAGTGAAAAATTCAAATACAGTAGTACCTCAGGATATGAACGCTTCAGCATACGAAATTTTCAGGATACGACATAAAATTCAAACATATTTTTGCTCCATGGTACAAACAAAAACTCACCATATGATGTTATATTAGTTTGCAGCACTACTGCCATGATCATATGCTCCTTCTGTTCATCGGTCTCAGTCTGTGTGTTTGTTTTGTCGTGGAAGGATCTCACTCGATAAAGGAAATCTTAAGATATTATCAGAAAGTGATTGATTTTATTGAAAAGAAACATCCCGAAAAGGTTCACACTGGCCGTATTGCTGCTCGGAGTAATGACATTTGCCTAAATCATTTTAGAAACATTTTAAAAAGTAAGCAAAGCCAAACTTCTTTGGATAGATATTTTACCATGCAACCTCTATCCAGTGAAAGTGCTGGTGGAAGTGAAGGAAAGAAAGCAAAAAGCAGTGAATAAAAATTTTAAATTTATTTATTTATTTATATTTTACTTTTTACATTATACTACTATAACAGTGGAAGCAAAAGTTATCAGCAAAAATACTAATTTTGTAAAAGATGAAATATTTTGAATCTTAACTGCAAGAGCTGATGCAAATTGACTGATTTTTACATTTAAGTCCATTATTTACTCTAACTTGTGAGTTTAAGTACAGGTCACAAAATGATTTCTCTCTGTTATTCCAATATTGGAACACTTAAATATTCTGTTGATAGAAATGAGGAAGAATTTTGACTTTGTTAATTTAACTATTTATTTTCACATATACTATTGTTTTTACTGAATATAACAGAACAGTATGCAGGTCAGTATGAAAAACCATATAAATTTTTGATATTGCTAATCTAGCTAATCTATTTGCATTTAAATTATATAAGCATTAAGTTTTTCTAAAAAAAAAATCAACTAATCAATATTTCGTTAATGTTCTGTATTGACTTTTTTCTATTTAATTCATTAACTGGATGATAAAAAAAACCATTAAAACATTTGCAAAGAAAAAAAATAAGCAGTAATTTGAAATAAATCTTTAAAGACAACATTAATTGAGCTTTATAAAGATTAGTTTATACGTATAATAAAATACGTATTGATTTTAAGTTTAAGTATAATATACAGTACTGTATATGAAGATTACTACCTTGATGTCAACAATGTAGCAATCCTCANTTTTTTTATCAATTATTATTCTATTATGGTTATTTATACATTTACAACTACAAAATGCATTTTTCAGTGTTTTCCTTACTAAAGTTATTCTTTTTCAATGTACTACTTAGCTTTAATTTGAGTGTGTTTTTCGTGTTGGAACGGATTATTTGGTTTTATATGTAATCATATGGGAAAAATGATTCACTTTGACATTTTCATGATACGATCTCAGTTTAGGAATGGATTAATTTCGTATCCCGAGATACTACTGTAATACTCTAGATACAAATACAAAAAATTTCTCTAGAGTATTAACGAGTAATATTATACACTTTATATCTAATTTCAAGCAATTTTTCAAGGCAAACAAACCAACTAACAAATGAATACTAGACCTTTATTTTAATTTTTTCCAAATATTCCATTTTCAACAATTCCAAATGCATTTTGCTAGTTTTAACTGGTCTCATCAGTGGATACATTCATTTGCCAACTGTTGTTCCTTTATACTGGACTATTTCGTCCCAGCATGCATCTACAGTCATACCCGTATTTAAATTAATTACATTTGCATAATTTTTTTAATACAGAAATGTTCAATGATTCTTCTTTTTAACAAATTTTTGCCTTGTATAATATTTTAACATTATTTCTATTAATTTTACAATTAAAACTATTACAGTGCTGATACCATGGTGATTCTTGTCTTTTTAAATGGATTGCCACCTCATGTTCCTTTAACCTTTTTTCCAAAAAGGTTAAAGGAACATGAGGCGGTAATCAAAAACCTTTTTTCCCATTATGCTTGTTTACTCGCAACTACATTGAATAATATTGAATAATATACACAACTGAATAAATACATTGAATAATCAAACACTAACAATAAGTGGTTATTCTGTGTACAAATGTACTGGTTTTTTATAGATTAATTTTTGACTTACAACTAAACTTCATAAGTAGAGAAGCACTTTATATATATTTTAATATTTAAAAAAACTAATTTCATTACTTAAAATTACATGATATTTTTGAACTTCTGCTTGATATGATAAAATTATAAAAAATTTTTAAAAAGTTTAAACTAAATTTTGATTACCTTAACATCTTCAATTGATGTACCCAATAGTTCATTTTTTAAAAGACAAGTATAAGCAACTCCATCTTTGTTATTATCTGTAGTAGCATCCTTAGCTTTTTTTGTCTGTGTAGGACATTTTGTATTTTCCTCCAGCAAATTCAAAATTATTTTTATTAGTTTTCAAACAACATACATTTGGTAATTTCATAATAGTGAATATTAAATATAGGTACCTGTATCATAGAAAAATTAACTTGCCAATTTGCACCAGCACGTCTTGGAATAAAACGATCTCCATAAATATCTTTTGATGGAGAATTAATAGAAGTCAACAATCTTCCTCTAGCTTCAGGCTAGATAATAAAAATTCTACTTATTTTTGACATATATATTAATAATTGATAAATAATTAGAAAAAATTTTATAGGATCACTATCTTATTATAGAAATATTACTTTATACAGATATTGGCAACTTTGCACCTGCACCACATGCCAAGTGAAATATCATAAACAAAATAAATTATGTTATTTATGTAAATGTTTATTATTACTTATTAATACTAGTTTGATTTGTGTGTTTAATTAAATAAAGGAAAATTGTAATTAACAATATTATTATTTTCTGTATGTTTAAAATCTATAGAGATCACTTTGGTTCTGTGCATGTCTTTTGTTTAAAATGTGATGTTCTTTCTCTCCTCTCTCTCCCTATGTGCTCTATTTATGGTAAGGTAGGTTTTGTGAAATAAATCTTTGTGGATCTATGATAAAATCCTTTTGCGGCCTGTCCCTTTATTTGTAATAACCATCACTTTAAAATTTAAAATGCATTATATTTTGGAAGCATTCATTCTTAAATCTTTTCAAGACTGATTCCAGGATCAAAAGGACAAATATTTTTAAAAATATGGTAAATTTATACAGATATCATTAAGCATTAACTCAATTATATTTTATAAAGCCTACTTATAATGATTTTAAGATATCCATATGAAGAACAAATGCTGTAACAGGAACAAAACTCTGCAAGAAGAGCCAATTACACAGAATACTTATTACTTATCTGACTTATTTAATTTAAAAACAACAACAAAATATAGCTGCAAGTCTTAAATATAAGTAAATTTTTAAAATTCTCATTTGGCATCATCAATTTGTCATTATTGTATTTCTTGAAATCACTAATGTATCCATAATTCTTGAAATGAAGAAGTTACTCAAATTAATCAGCTATTTTTTGAAGCTCACCATCTTGCATTCAATAGTTTGTATTCATATTTCATCAGTTATTTAAAATTAAGTTCAGATTACATAGAATAATAACAGGGAAACAATATAGTCTCATTAATCTGACAATAATATAAAACTAATTGTAAGTCAAAAGAATTTTAATTTACCTGATAAGGAGCAATGTCAACTCTCATTATCAGTTATTGTCAGTGAAAACTGTAAGAGTTGTGTCTACAATATCCCCAAATAAGTAATCTAAAGATTAAATATCTATCAATATACAGAGTTTGACCCAACAGATTTTTTCTAAACATACAGAATGATCATGTAACATATAAGTAACCATAATGCACATTTAATGATATCAAAAATAAAGGAGTATTATTTAGAATGGAAATTCAACAATGCTAGCTTTATGTCAAAAACTTAGAAATCATAAAACCTCAATAAACGTTTTCTGGTGGAGAATTAATAGTCTTACTAATTTCATGTCAATATCACATAATAAATTTCATTTAACAGAATGAAACAATGACTAACTCATCTGAAAATGTGAATACAAGAAAAGTACATTAAAATTCACTGAGAGATTTGAAACCTAATATCTAAAACAACAAGCAATTTAGAAAGGACTAGAAATAATGAAAATTTACAATTCAAGTTGGCAGCTATAATAGCTTATTAAATGCTATTATAAGCTATTTTTAGAAAAAAAAATTCAATTAATATGAGGAATGATACTCACTTTTTAATTTTTTTTTCTTTTTATATTATTACAGTTTTAACTGGTCTCATCAGTGGATACATTCATTTGCCAACTGTTGTTCCTTTATACTGGACTATTTCGTCCCAGCATGCATCTACAGTCATACCCGTATTTAAATTAATTACNTTTAAATTCACAGATTGACTAAAATGGTTTTAAAGTTTTGAATACTTTACTCTCCATTATTTATTTTTATGGATGGAAAGAAAACATTTAAATTTAACTTTTTAAATATTTAGAAATGGTATAAAATGACATAATAATAATATTACAGTAGCCCCTCGTTATATAGCAGATTTGGATATATTGCGCTTTTGTTTTGGTCCCCAAATTTTAATTTTATCAATTGCCATTGAATTTTTTTTTTTTGCAACAAAATACAGTATTTTATTCTTCTTACGTAATTGTAAAATACATGAAAAATATACATTTTTCTTTCTCCTCTGACTTATGGATATCTTATAACTTTAAAGAACTTTAGGTCCAGTCGTACAACTACTGAAGATGCCTTCCATAGGCGAAATGCATTTAGGAGGTTTATTAATGTAAATAAAAGTTCTCTTTGCAAGTTGATCTCCTTTTTACCTTTCTTAATTTTATTTTTTTATTCGTTGTTGATACAATGTTTTAAAAAATTTCTTTAAAGTCATAAGATATCCATAAGTCAGAGGAGAAAGAAAAATATATTTTTTTGTGTATTTTACAATTACGTAAGAAGAATAGAAACAGTCTGACTTCATTGTTTTTTATAATTATTTTGGAACAGTATTTTATTCCTACCATTGTCCTTGAAACTACAACTGCAGGTGAAACAATAAATTCATCAACATCTAAATAAAAAAAACAGGCAGACAGATCAATTATCATTTATGTTTCCTTTTGATATTAAAAATTGTTTATTGGTTTTAAGTACTGTGTCCTCATTTACAAGTTTCTCTGAATTTGAAATCTCACACCTTTATATGAATTGATCCAATAGATTTCTTTATTTCTGAACAGAAAGTTCTAAAATTTTTATACAGTAGTAACTTTATTTTGCTTTCTAGAGAATTTTTACTCTAATTTTATAAGTTTTGATCTTCTATTATATGTTCAATATTTATTTTTAATCACATTTGTTTTTCAATAGGCCTGTATATATTTATTAATTCATTATAAATAGATTTTACCAGTTAATAGGAAAAATTTTTTAAATATGCAATAAGAGAAATATTGTTTTAAAAATTCCTCATACAGAGTAAGTCAAAAGTCCCTTGCATCTTTTCATTTCAAAACTATTGAAGATGTATTAATTTTGTTAATGTAGTTACATAATAGTAATGCTTGAAGAATTGGATAAAACTTTCTTGACGACCTAGAAAATTATTTTCAAGTCACTTAAAATAATCACTTTTCTCCACAAATTTATTTACACAGTGCCGATTAAGAAGCCAGAAAATGGTTCTAGACTAATTAATAAATAACAACAACAAACTTTTAAAATTAAACCAGCAAATATGTTTTTAATATACTTCGACAAATGCTTTTGATCCTAATTGGGATCTGCTTCAGGTCAAAACATTTGATAAAAAATTTGGAATGCTAAAAGAGAAATTTTAAATTATAAATTGCTGAAACCATTAAATATTCCAACAAATACAAAAATCACATCTATATATTAATATTAAAAGTAAAAATTAAAATTAACAATAAAATTAACAATAAAATTAAAATAATTGGAATTTGTAACAAATATATTCACTAAATTTTTATGTTAAGGTTTATTTCATTTTATTTTAATGTTGTTGTTAATTTTTATTTTTAGTGTTAATATTAATACATAGATGTGATTTTTATTGTTGGAATATTTAATCCTTCCAGTGATTTTAGAATTTAAAATTGCTCTTTTAGCATTCCAAATTTTTTTATCTAATGTTTTGACCTCAAACAGATCCCAGTTAGGATCGAAAGCACTTGTCAAAGTACGAAGGCTATTTTTTAAATAAGTTCCGATTTTTATAAGAAGAAAAATACTGTAAATATCATTAAAAAATATTTTTTCCATATTCTACATAATTTCATCTACTTTTCTACATAATTTCCATTTTTGTTTAAACATTTGCCATACCACTCAACAATTTTTTGAATTCCGGCTTCAAAGAAATCTGCCGCCTGTGAAAAAGCCAAATCCATGACTGCAGTTTTCACTTCATCATTGTCATTGAACCATTGGTCACCAAAAAACTCCTTCGAGTATCGAAACAAGTAAAAATCACTGGGTGCAAGGTCTGGACTGTAAGGTGGATGATCCTGTTTGTTCCCATCCAAAAGAACTGATTAGATCTTGTGTTTGCAGAAACATGTGGCCTTGCATTGTCATGGAGCAACATTACGCTGGGAAACAGTAGGGCATGCCGGCATTTTCTCAAAGTCACACAATATGCATCAGAATTGATTGTTGTGCCTCTTGGCATAAAATCCACTAACAAAATCCCTTTCCTGTCCCAAAAGACAGTTGCCATGATCTTTCATGTTGAAATTGTCTGTTTGGCTTTCACTTTAGTTGGCGAAGATATGTGTCGCCATTCCATTGACTATTGCTTGGACTCAGGATTCATGTGAGTCACCCAAGTCTCATCTCCTGTAATGATGTGGTCCAACAATTCATCTCCTTCTTAGTCGTATCGAGTCAAAAACGATAAAGCACTGCCCAATCTTTTTGTTTTGTAATCATCAGAAAGCAGTCTTGATAACCCACTGAGAACACAATTCAGTTTCTCCAAAACAATTCAGTATCTCCAAAACTCAGATAATTCAGTTTCTCCAAAACAAGTATACAAAACTAATCTTGAAACCTGTGAAATTTCAATTGATAACATTGAAATCATAAATCGTTGGTCCTCTCGAATTTTGTTATCCACAACATGAATCAAATCTTCAGAAATCAGAGAAGGTTGGCCAGGGTGTGGCTCATCGTGCACATTAACCCACCCATCCTTGAACATTCTCACCCATTTTTGAACTTTACTGTCACTCATAGCATTATCACCCTAAACTTCACAAATCTGATGGTAAATTTCCACTGCTGCCAAGTTTCTTGCACTCAAGAATCAAATAACAGATCATATCTCACAGTCGGCGGGCGACTCAATTTTCTTAAACATTATAAACTTCTATAGCTCAACACACAGACAGACGATATGGCTGCAAATGGCGTCTAAACACGCGCAGAGCTTGCTCGGAGCAGAAGCGCATGCGTATTGCCGCGATTGTGCGTCATTCTCACTCTCATTCACAAACGGGCCTTATTTAAAAAATAGTCCTCATATACTAAAAATACATTTGCTGGTTTAATTTTAAAGGTTTGTTGGTGTTATTTACTAATACATAACCAGCTGTGGGAAGATTTAGACTAATTAAATCTGCAATGGCGAAGTCATCTCACACATTGAATAATGCTCTTTACAGAATCCACTGTTTTAAGCATGGACTGACTTTACTCATTGTATACTTCGTAAGCTTCCACACCATTTAATTTGAGTTGTAATTGGAAGAATTTTCAACCCATGACAAAACACGTATCTGGTGATTGGAAAAGCATCTTTTGATGTGCTTTGAGGTCTAGCATAGGGAAAGATCCTGCTGGAAGATGTTTTCATCAATGAAATGTTCTATCAATTCTACTAATAGTCTAGTCACGCTTTCATATACTTTGGAATTTAAAGTTTCCTTTATGAATAATAATTTTCTGATACATTTATTCACTCATTATTCATTATATTTTTATTGGTACTAAAATTTTTTAAGTACATACCGACATTGAGATGTCAAGTAACCCAAACCATGACACTTGCAGGATACATCACTGTATGTTTTCTACCAGTTCAGTTCTTCACCTTTTTTTGCCAAACAGACCCACTATCTCCAATGGGTATGATAAATTTATTCTCATCACTGAAGATCACCAATTCCAATTCATCACAGCCCAACAATGTTTATGTTCATGTGTCCAGTTGCATCTATCCTGTCAATACTTAGCTGTTGTTAAAGGTTTTCCATTATGTTTTCCAGACTGAAATCCCATTGCTTGAATTCATTTGTAGGTTGTGGTTCAACAAGCACTTGATCCTGCCTCTTTCCAAATGCCGTATAATTCACTGACAGTTTTAAAATGGTTTGCATTAATGAGTCTCCTGAGACATGTCTTTATAGGCCTGATTTTTTCATGGACAGCCAAGCTAAGCTCCTGCTTTTCTACCAGTTGCAGAATGATGATTCTTTTCTGCAGCAACTGCTTGAGATACAGTAGATTGGTAAAACTTTACATCTTTAGCAATTCTGCATTACTTTAGACTATTTTCATATAAATGTAAAATGTATTCCTTTACAGTGGTAGTCAACCTTTTCATCCTCCAACATGAAATATGCTTTTCATGTTGGAGGATGAAATTTCAAGTTGGCATATTTCTGAACATATTTCAGAAATATGCCAACATGATACAACCTAGATTCTAAAATGCTTTTATACGTGAAGGCATATTCACTTTGTTGAGCACAAAACCATTTTAAAGAGAAATACCTAACACGATAAAATAACAAATGATAAAATAAAAAACAAAAAATAGCAAATTAGATTTTAATTAGAGACAAAGTATTAAATTTATGACATTTCTTCTTTATGTATATTTGAGACATGCTGAAATAAATGCCTCAATCAGGTGCTCGTAGTTAAATAGGGGTATTGTTGACTGTCAATATAAATACTGTATTTATAAGTATTTAGAAGAAAAAATATCTCTCTTATTAGACTATACATATATATGAGTCCATAAGATATGGACTCATGTATAGTCTAGTAAGAAATATATTTTTTCTTCTAAATATGAATTTGTCCTGGCAATTTTTGTTACTGTATTTATAAGTACCTATTACTGTATATATATTTGTATTTTATCTATATTATTGCTCATGTTGTTCCCATTATATCAAAGACACAGGGCGGACAACAGTCCCCATCTATCTTTGATGTTCTCCTATTTTATTTATTGTTCATTAATACATGTCATTTAAGTTAAGGAATATCACGAATCTTTAAAGAATTACAATGAAAACGAATTTATCCTCAAAACAAAAATTTTAAATGTTAATTATAATGTAAAGATGGAATTTACTGATTTATCATGTTTTTACTTCTGGCCTATTTCATTGTTACTTGAAACAAAACAGTGTTTGACGGGTGTTTGAGATGGCTATGGAAGTATTATTTTGAAAGTAATTTTAGAATTTGCAAATTTTACTTATTTTTACTAATAATGTCGTAGCTTTAAAAGCAATAAATAATTACATTACAAATATTGATTTAGTTGATATATTAATTTCTAACAACAAAAAAAAANAAAAAATAAAAGTATTGATAAAAATATTTGCTATTTAAAAAAAAATTATTTTAATTAATTGTTGTAAAGTTAAAATAATTTTACAACATAGCAGTATCAGAAATTTTACTTACTGAAGGTGCAGGAGTAAGATTATTTTGTCCATTATGCTGTCGTAACAATCGTCTCTCATAATCTTGATTAATCATTTTAAGCTCTAGAAATAAATTGTAACAGATTAAAATCAGTGCCAAATTATCTGTTAGGCACAAGAGGTATATGCCTAAGGCCCCAAATTGCAAAAAGTAAAGAAATTTTAGTATTGCAATTATATATCATAATTTATAAATAATTATATAGCTACAATTAAACATTATTAGCTTATGATGTTATAAAATTACATAGAGTGTCTTCCATCTTCTGTGCTTAGGGGCCCTGGAATATCTTAATCTAACACTGATTAAAATAATTCCAATTACTTTTAATAACATTTAATATAAAAATTAAAATTTCACAAGATAAAATGTTTTACAAAACAAATTTAAAAAGACAATCCATAAAAAAAATTGTTGACAACAGAACACACTGAACTTTATGCATATAATAAATATCCAAACCAAACAAATTGCTGTATTACTGGGCTACAATAAAGCTAATTCTTAAAATTAGCCTTATTGTAGCCCAATAATATGACAATTCACTTGATTTGGCTTAATTATCATTTGGGTTTGTGGATTCGTTTAAATAAATATATACCATATTTACTTGGATATAAGACGATCTCACATATATGACGAGGTGTTATTTTAAAGATCAAAATAAAGAAAATTAGATTTATTAATACAATTCTAATTTTATTTTGTTTGATCACAAATAAAATATCAAATGTAAGTAAATGCACACATTGTCCCACAAAAATTACTGGCATTTTAGACTTCAAGGAAAAATCTCGTAAAATCGACAACATAATTTGTTCGTGTAAAGCTGGACAATTATTGGGAACCTTCTTTGCCAATCTTAACAGTTGAATCCACTCTTCATCGATTACACTTACAAGTTTCTTCAAATTTCCAAATAATCATCTGTTTTTACATGGGAATGAATTAAAAACTTATATTGGGCTACTGTGTAATTTTGGAATTCAATTCAAAAGCTTTGTTTTTCCTATTGCTATTCATCTTTACTCCTGATAATACACAAGAACAATTCAAATGACCCAGATAAAATACTTTTGTTTTTAAACCCCAGATGGTGAGAATCTGGTAAAAAGTGAGAATACACAGTTTACAAAAATTATTGCAAAAATGAAATGAATTCTTCGCTCATGCATATAGGACGATCTAAGTGATTGAAGCAGTGAAAAATGAATAAAAACCTCATCTTATACGCAAGTAAATATGGTATTCTCTATACAAAAATCCACATAACTACTTGTTACAATAATAATATAAACTCAAAGAATGAATGAATTTAATTTAAGACAACCAAAAAGTTTTAACATTTTTTGTCATATGATCAACATTTTAAGAAATGTTTTTTGCTATCTGAATTAAGTTTAAGTTGACACCAGGGCAAACTTAAAATATGGTGCCTTTTAGGTAAGTGTTTCATTAGTCTGTTACAAATTTAAATTCAACACTTTTTATTAATATACTGCATATTATATTACATAATATAACATTTCATACTTGTATGAGACAATTTTCATGAATTTATCAGTTTGCCAATGTAACAATTTTAGAATCAGATCATCTTAGCACCATGGGCACATGCCTCCTCTACCTGCCTTTCCAAGGCCCTGATATTATACCTATGTTACAGTATATGCTATTATTATACAGTATTGATGCAAGATTAAAATAATTCAATTTAAATGTTTTCTTTTATAATTCTCGACTTATTATTATGTGAAAACATTAGCTATCATTTGAGAATTATAAACTTAAAATATAATGACAAAAAAAAAAGTGTAATGGTTGTGATGCTATAATTTCTAGCTTTTCAAACTCTCTCTCTTCAATCATAGTTATTCATTATCAACAACTTAATGTTAAAAAACAGTTTTAATAAAAATTACACTGCAAGAGAAGTAAATCCATAAATATTGATAACTGATTTCCTTGTCTGATATTTACTATGTAGACTATAGTTTCTAATTAGGAATTTGCCTTGTAACCAAATAAATATTTTATTTTTGTAATTAATCCAAATTTGAATCTATAGCATTTTCAAGAAGCTTAACATTGTTTGCTAAACCATCGCAGAAGTGCTAATATTACAAGTTAACATCATTAATACAAGTGAATGACATGCAAAATGAATGTTAGAAGACAATTTCCCATGAAGACACTAAATGTTATGCATTATATTGAACTGCGATATCTTATCTTATAACTTTTGTTTCTTTTCTCTTCTAAAGGTGCAGCATCCAAGTCTACCATTCTTGATCATCCTCTTACTACTTTTCTCTCCATCATTTCCCCAAATAATATCTTCATCCATTACAAATGTCTTAATAAATGTCCTATTATACTGTTCCTTTGTTTATTTATAGTGTCAAGATTTCTAAAGCTGAAATTTCTAGTAATTCCCTTTCTCTCTATATTGACTCAGAAAACTATTTAGAAATCTATTGTCAATTTTAATGTGTTAGCTTTTTATAGCAAATAAGTGCCAAGTAATAAATTCTCAAAACAATGTTATTGGATATTATAGTGTGTGCACAACTTTCTTAGTAAAATCAATGAAGTTAACAAAAATTATTCATATATCACTTATTAGAGAGGTTGAGGCGCACGTTTTAAACGTGTAAACGTGTACGTGTGACGTTCGGCGCCGCTTTCCCGTAAGCCTAAAAGTTTGACAATGGTGTTTGGATAGTCGGTGGAATTACGCTCGACATTCCAAACACCATCGTCAAACTTTTAGGCTTACGGGAAAGCGGCGCCGNAGACGTGTGTCACGTGCTTAATGGACAATCCAGCGGTTATGAGCAACTCTGTGCCTTTTAGATTTTCGAATAAGAATAAAAACAGAAAAATTATTATTATTATTATTATCATCAACATCATGAACAATCGCTGGTTTACGTCTCAGGATACGATCTTTTGCAGCTCGAGTTTATGATCTCTGCATCTCTTCATTGGACAGTTTATTATGCATAATATGCCTTCTCTTTATGAAAAATTAAATAAAAATATATTTGTTTTTTTATAAATATATTTATATGATGATATCTGGATACACTGCTGCTCAATATTCAATAATTTATAAATAATTCATTACAGAATTATCATTGAATACTATCAAAGAAACGAAGGGGCTAACTGCAAGTTTACCTTCGTGTTAGCAACCTTGCGATAAAGTTATTGTATTAAATTTTAAAGAATTGTTATCTATATAAAGTTATCTTTCATTTATGAAATTTATATTATTTTCGCTATTTATATACATTTACATCATATCAGATGACGTTGATACTATTAACACTTTTATATCCAGAGAGATTAGTTCGATAATTGCTTGTTCAAATTGCAAGAAGGTTTATAAAACTTCGTGACATCATTGTAATCATATCTTATCTAGAATGAGTAATCGTTTAAAAGCAAGCGTCAATATGAAATCCCAATATTTCTTATAATATTGACAACTCTATAGAGATTAAATGTCATATAATATACAGCGTATCTATGGTTATTTATATAAAAATAATCATGCAATTAATTTACTAATTGAAGATCTAATTAATTGCAATTTTATTATATTTTTACTTAGCATTTAATTTAATTAAAAATGAAAAACAAATATTTACTAATATACATTTATAATTTTTAATAGGAATTTTTTAATTTTTTAAATAAATTGACTGAAGAAAATGCTTATAAATTTAAAAATAACATAATTTATTTATGTAATTGTGATATACACTGCATATTATGTCTTTATAATTTGTAAGGGTCAGTTATATTCTATAAACGTGAATTTATATATTTTATAATTTTATAAATAATATGTATATATATGTTGTTATAAAGCTATGTTTTATTTAAAGCAATTTTAATTAATTAAAATTTTTATAAATTAAATTAATAAATTACAAGGTATGTAGTTGTATTTACTTTAGTAATTAAAATTTCCAGAATTTATTTTAATTAAATTAAATTATTGTTAAAATGCACTGATTTTTGCGCTAAATTTTTAAATTGTATTAGTTTAATTAAAATACTGCATATAGACTACGTTTATTTCATATATTTAGGTATAAGTTTTATTCAAATTTATGCAATATATCTGTCAATCGGATAATATGATGTTAACTTACTACTATGAGAAATCTGGATTCGAATCTCCATTATCTGTGATCTGAGTATTATAATTGGGCATTAACATCACCTGTATTCTTAACACATCTGTAATGTCGATTTGCTTCATTCCAGAGAGACAGGGATGAAAAGACCAGCGTTAATTAATACCCAAAAACCGAAAAACAAGACCTGAAAAATTAGTCATTAGCATGAGGAACATGAGGAACATGAGAAAAATTAATCATTAGCATGAGGAGTTGAGGCCTCGTTCCTCATCCATTCATGCTAATCGACCATATTGAGGATTAAAGGGGTATTCTTGTGGCAGTTCATATTTCCTACAATAAACTGGATCCTTTGCATTAATCGACATTACATAACTATATGGCTTAAAAATTCAGCGCTAAAAATCAATATATTTTATTAATTAATAAATTTAATTAAAGTGAATTTATTTATTTTTACAAATAAATAATCGAGGATTTTTTTTATAAGTTATGTATAAGTTATAAATATGAACTTACATAAGCGGAGTTCTTTGCGATAAACATGGTTTCGATGGTCTTCACTTTTCTACTTGATTATGAATGTTTTTCCACACCTATATACGAAGAAAAATCGATAAATTAATGATGTAATTTTGATTTTCATCCCGATAATGCTACTCCACGTGGACAGACACGATCAGTGGGAGTGATGATCACGGGGACGACTTCTCGCCATCCGATAGGACGATCCGAGGATAAACAGAGGTGTGTTCAATATCCATTGTTCCGGAGGCCTTTTACAACTTATCTTATCCAATATTGCAAATAAACGAATTTAAAATTAATATTTGTTTGTTATTTTTGCTATTTAACAAAATTTTATCACTATTTTTATAATATTCATCAATTTTTTTGAAAGCTAAAATTTTATAATTTTGTAATAACTTTTAAATAAAA